TTCCTGAAAAGAGACACAGAAAGGAAACCAAATCACCCAACGTGGGGCTCGAACCCACGACCCTGAGATTAAGAGTCTCATGCTCTACCGTCTGAGCTAGCCGGGCTAGTTGCCCAGTCATTTTGAGAGATCGTCACCGTTTTCATCAGTACCTTCCCTACCCGTGAGAACATTGTGCTAAGTCATGACATCATCTTGTTATGCTGAACAGAACGTGGTGCAGGATCTATGCCCAGTGCATGTGTTAGCAGTTTCAAGGCAGCTAAAAGCTTAGTTCGTCCCTGGGTGGGCTCGAACCACCAACCTTTCGGTTAACAGCCGATTGCGCCACAGAGACTTGGAGAAAAAGTGTCCTACAGTGGTAGAAACGCTGAACTTTGCCCTTAAAGGTCTGGCGGATGAACCTAAATAAAAGTTCCTGAAAAGAGAGACAGAAAGGAAACCAAATCACCCAATGTGGGGCTTGAACCCACGACCCTGAGATTAAGAGTCTCATGCTCTACCGACCGAGCTAGCCAGGCTAGTTACCCAGTTATTTTGAGAGATCGTCACCGTTTTCATCAGTACCTTCCCTACCCGTGGAACATTGTGCTAAGTCATGACGTCATCTGGTTATGCTGAACAGAACGTGGTGCATGATCACTGCCCAGTGCATGTGTTAGCAGTTTTAAGGCAGCCAAAAGCTTAGCTCGTCCCTGGGTGGGCTAGAACCACCAAACTTTTTCTTTAACAGCCGAACGCGCTAACCGATTGCACCACAGAGACTAAGAGAAAAAGCTAAATACAGAGGTAGAAACGCTGAACTTTAGACTTAGAGAAAGGCTAGTGGAAGAAACACTGAACTTTGTCCTCAAAACCTCTGCCGGATGAACCCAAATGAAAACTGCTGAAAAGAAACAGAAAGGTAACAGAAAGTGGCCGAGGATCTATGCCCAGTGCATGTGTTATCACTGTCAAGCTTTGTTCGTCCCTGGGTGGGCTCGAACCACCAACCTTTCGGTTAACAGCTGAACACGCTAACCGATTGCGCCACAGAGACTTAGAGTGTACCCATCACCATAAAGATCTTTCCATCTCCGTGACAATATTCCGCTAAGTCCTGATGTCACCTCCTACCGCTGGACAGAACGTGGGCCAGGATCTATGCCCGGTGCATGTGTTATCAGATTCAACACAGGTCCCCAGGTGGGTCGAACCACCAACCCTTAGATTAAGAGTCTCATCCTCTATGCTAAAACCTGATGTCATCTTGTAACGCTGGACAGAATGTTCTATGCTTAATTCTTAATTAAAGTTAATAATGTGCATTTTAAAAGGCTAAAGTAAATGAACAAATGATGAAGTACAGCATTTTAAATGGACATATATTAAGATGTGAAACCCTTGAAATGCTGAAAGTTGCCACATGCCTGAAACTCACTATATACTAGATTATATGCTACATTTTGATTTAAAGACATGAATTTACATGGTTTGTTTAACTATGGCTAAAATAATTTAACAATTTATGAAGGACAGCATTTAAACTGCCAGAACTGTTTTTGTGAACCAGTTGCTAAAACAAAAATGTTTGTTTTTTATATTGTTTTGTAATAACTTTATGGAAAAAACAGCCATTGACTTTTTTCAGTTTTGTAAAAGGAACATGCTCAGTACTGTGGCTTCAGTACTTTGTGGTCAGAGGGCTGCTGCAAATATGGTAGCACCACAAAAACATGTGCAACATTGGCGCGAAGAGTAAACAATAAGGGAACACCAATGGTATTTCTCAGTTCTGCTTTTTTTCTTCTGTTTCTGAAACATTCCCGCTTTTATGAATAGCGATTAAAGAACAGAACTTACCAAATGTGTCAACCTCAATGCTGACTCTTTTAGGCTCGGTAAACGCTGGATGCTCTACCACACAGGTAACTGTGCTCTCATTATTCATAATCAGGGGGAAGTGAAGTATGCTGACAGAACTGTTTGTGCCATTGGGATGAATTGCATTAGTGGTGTTCGTGGAGAAGATGTCATCTCTTGGAAGGGCACCAGCGATCTCCCATCTAATCACAGCCTCTGGCTTGGCACTGAAGGCTGAACAAGTGACAGCGTGGTAGACGGTCCTGTTCACAACTTCCTCCTTCACGGTTATGTCAATTTCAGGCCGAGCTTAGAAAAAACATACAATAAAGGTAAGTTTTGTATTACTGTATCACTTAAAAATTTAATCTGAGACTATTTTCTCACTGTTCATGTCATTTTACATCTGTTCTGTTTTTTTGTTGTTTTTGTTTTTTTGTTGTTACATTAGAAGCAGGGCTTGACATTAACTTTTTTGATCACCAGCCACTGTGGCTATTAGTTGTCCCATGTTACCACTCACAATTTTCACTAGTCATAATTTCATTGTTAGGAAAATACATTTTATATGCCTAAATTTGACTGTCATGATAAAAAATACTTGATTTAAATTATGTGGTATGTTCACATGCCTCCTCATTTCACTTCATTGTGTGTTTTGACCTTGCTCAATGCGGATGAGCAAATGTGTTGGAGTTTCATATTATCACATTGCAATTAGTTTTATTTCACATGACTTTTTAGGGCTCAACACTAAGGATTTACTAATTTTCTCTCTAGTTACACCAAGTTACAACTCTCTAGTTATTTTTTCCTTGCCAAAAAGTTTAAATAATATGTATAGCAATCAACCCTAACATTAGTTTCAGACACAACTGCAATGTATTTTACTGGTGAATATGTCTTGTAAAAACACTTTACAAACACATTTTATGTATATTTTTTCATTAATTTAAACGGAAACCTATCTATCTAACTGAAACCATAGATAATCAAAAATGAGCGTCTGTGTCTGCACAGCGATCAAGTCTCTCATCGGAGAATGTGGATATTATGGTGTTTATGAAGAAGATCTTTCACTAGTCTACACTGCAGTTATTTATTTAATTTTAGTTTACTTAGTTAAGATGGCTGCACTAAAGAGAATTGTTTTTTTTCTGACTAGTCTATATTGGAGGTATTTATTTAATTTTAGTTGTTTACTCAGTTATTCTGACTGTACTAAAAATGTGATGACAAAGTTAATAAAGAAAAAGTAAAGATGTTCTTTTTATTAAGTGAATTGTCTCTTAGCATTGCTGCTAACATGTCATCAACCCTAACCCCACAGCAAACAGAAACCGAACCGTACCGAACCGTGGCTCCAAAACCGTGAACCGAACCGTGCCTTTGGTGTATCGTTACACCCCTAATATATATATATATATATACACTTTGTATTCAACAAAAAATTCTTAAAAATCTATTTACATTTTTTTTAAATTATTCTCATCTATTTAAAACACACTGGCCTGTCCTGGCAGAAGGTCCAAGAACAGCAGTTAACTACATAACTACTTACAATGTTATTGTAAAGGATGGTAATTAAACCATATTACAGTTTTTCACAATGGCCATGACAGTTTCTTCAACACATTTAACAAAGTTTCCTAAACTCTTAACAACATCCATCTTTGTGGCCTATACAATTAACACATTTCTTGTTGCTTTGACACAAAATACATCCAGTTAATACCAATTCAAAATACTTAAAATTATTTTACAAACAAACACAACCAAAACCAAAACAATCTAATCCTACAATCAAATTTTCTAATGCTTTCACACAGTGTGTCAGAACAGATAACATCATGATCTAAACAGAACTTACATAGGCCAAAGTCAAAGTGAACAGCTGACCATATTGTGAATTAAAACACAAATATATTACCTGTATTGTTTTCCATTGCTAATTGCAATTTATATATATATATATATATATATATATATGGGTTATTCTTACGAAACCAGTAAAACAACGTGGCACTTAAGATTTTAAATATAAAACTTAGTAATTTGTGAACAAAAAAACATTATAATAAAGACAATGCTGTTCTCTACGAAGCACAATGTGGAATTTTAACATAATTTATTTATTTTTAATCATTTTGCTGCATTTTCTACTGAAATTCTCATTACGAAACGTGTCCATGCATGTTTGAATGTGTGTTATGTTGTAATTTAAACAAATTAGCATAAAATTTTTTGAATAAAAACAAATGAGTTGTTTTAATAGATTATCTTACATGACAAAACAAATAGTTTACAGAATATTCATGTATAATGACAATTAGAAAAAAATGAAAAATTAGGTGTCCGTGACAGATGTTCTCATCCTCCGCAACCATTTTAAAGTGCTGTTTAAACACACATAAAGAGTTTAAATAAAGTTTAATTTGGTATAAAGAAGCACATGGGCCAGTTGTTTTAAGATGACTGCCAGGAAAGAAAATCTTTTATATTTCTCCAGTTTAATGTAAAATTTTCTTCCGTCAAAATGGTTACACGACTTTTTGATTATCATTACCGAATCAGGTAGTTTTCTATATTAACATAATACAATTATATGCACTGAGAATTTTTTTTAAATCATCATAGCTTCCCTATTATTTGCAAAACATATTGAGGCACCTCATTCTCCGCAATTTTTTTCTCATATACCGCAACTATTTAGGGACAGTTGCGGTAGAGAGAACAGGTGTTTTGGGAATGAGAATTTAAGTAAAATTGCATACTAAATTCAAATAACTCTTTTTAATTTAATGTTAATTTTAAAATGTACTAACTGTTTATATTTTGTTTTGATTTGTTTCATTTTAAACAGTCAGCAATGAAAAAAATTAAATCTTTAGCAAAAGCCAGGTTGGAAAAAATTGTACAGCAACCCAGAACTACTTGAGGAGTATAGAAGGAAAGAAAGAGAGAGGTTAGATTTGGAGATGGCATAGCAGGTGTAATTACTAAAAGAAACACTCTACAGTGTTAGGAAATCTAATCATTTAAGTTAATAATTTAGTTTTGATCTGCACACACGCAGTGTACAAATGCGCATACATGCACACAAACAGACACACACAGAGGGGCCCTATTATTCACCTGGCGAAATGTGGGGAAAGGCATGACGCAATTGTTGTTTGCTAGTTTCAGCTTGGTGCAGGAGTCGTTTTGAGGTTTTGTGCAACGCTGTTTAAATAGCAAATGCATTTGCGCTCTTATGTGCGCCCTTAGGCGTTCTGCTTTAAAAAGCGCGTTCTGAAGAGCATTGCTGGCGCGGTGCTATTTTGAGAAACTATAATAGATTTTTCAATAGACCAGAACAAAGTAAAATGTAAAAAATTACAAAACATTATTTTCTAGCCTACATAAATATAAAAAACTACTTTCATGCCTTCTTTATCTCGGGAGGCTTTTTCAGTTCATTCATAATAATTTTCTTTTGTTTTATGTTATCATTAGCAGTATTAATTATTATCTACATATTTATATTTGTTTTATTAAAAACAAGCTTAGATTTGCCCACCTGTCAGGTTTTAGACCATATGGGGCACATCATGTGTATTAGGATATAACTCGGGTTTTTGACCACACTTCATTATTATTGTTCATTTATTCGTTTGCTGGAAATTAGAACTGAATTTAGAAATAGTTTTGAAACGAATCTTTGCGCTTAACAAACAAAATTAATTATTTACAGGCTAATTGACGTCATATAAAAGGTTTCCCTATTAGATCATGCATTATGACGCAAATCGGATTTTTCCATCCTTATATTAGCAAAAGTGGATTCTGACACGCTCTGAATGCGTCTGCGCCCTGCGCTTTGCATTTTGTGCATGGATCGTCAAAATAGAGCCCAGAGTGAGAAAGAGAAAATAACCAAATATGTCAATTATGAACAATTTTAAAATATTTTGTTTGCAAAAATACTAAATCACTATGATTTTGGAAAAAGATGCTAAGTGGGAAAAACAAACACACTGCATCATACAAAATGTTAAGCTTTTGTGTAGTCTCTTTATAGCCATATGTAGTTTTTACGGTAATCAAAATACAAAACTTTACACCTCAAATCACTTTGTCAAACAACAAATATCGAAACCTTGTCAGAAAGAAGTATTTTAGCTTCTCTAGAAAGGAATTCCCAAGCAGCATTGTAGAGATAGTAATACTAGAACCTAGTGTTTGCACCGTGTCATTGCATGAAAAGAGGGTGCTAATCTTCTTTTTGAATTTGTTTTCAAATGGCAGTCTTCCATTTACCTGGAAATACCAAGTGTATCTGTCTGTGGATTGCAAGACAGGCGTAACATTAAGGTGCGTGACTTGTAGTAAGTTAGAGAGGCGCAATTTGCAGTAATGCAGATCACATTGAACTATGTGAGATGTCACAACGAGATTTTGTTGGCAAGATGGTGGAAATACTTAAAAGAGATCATTTTCACCAAATGGTAGGCGTTAATCACTGTGAGGGTTGGGTTTAGTTATGGAGTAGGTGTAGATGTTAATAACTGATGGGTTCATCGCCATCATGCCGACAACATAGAGTGACATGTGGGTCTCCATGACTTTAAATTCTGCCTCTACTACAAGTTATGACCCCTTCATGTTATGCCCCTGTCTTGCAGTCCGCCGACAGACCCTACTCGGAAATACAGCGCTAATTTAAACTTAATTAAAAATAAAAATTACAAAAATTCCATTGTTTTCAATAGGGGAAATGTATGTTATTTACTACATAAATATACATTTTTACCACAATCCCCCCAAACAAAATGCAAAATAATAAAAATATTACAGTGTTTCCTCTAGGTTTTTTTCCAGCTGTGGCGGCAGGCCTTTTACACAAATCTATCAACAACCTGTGGCGTTATTTCATTGACAAATGTCAAAAGCGCAGTATTAGAAGTCAAGATCGCATTTATGTAATAGCCTACAGCATGGGGATCTCTTTGCTTGCATGCCGATTTCCTCTGCTCGTGCACATCTCCTTCTTCTTGCACACCCCCTCAACTATAAGCCGCTTCAAGAGCATGCAGATCTTCTTGTGCACTCTCAAATAAATGCTGCTGAAGTGCGATTTAGTGCGTTTATGTCTCCAGCATTTATTAGATTTTCTAGGAATATTTATGAATGTCTCTAATAGACATAGCGATATTAATGTGTCCTGAAGTAAAGTGAAACAGCTATACGTCGTGTTTGCTGGCCTCACGCATCATGCACCTGTCATTCAGACAGTCAGCACATAACCTTAAGGGTAAACGAATGACGCACAGCACTACTACGGTTACAAAAAAGTTTGCACTGTTATAATTCACTTACCTTTTAGTATGTTTTTGTGCGAGTATCACCCGCTATTAAAACAATAAAATGTTTTGAATGAGAAGCTGTAATGTAGCTGTGGCAGGATGAATTTTGGCGTGGCGTCCCGCTATGGAAGAATGAATGTAGCGGACATCATTTTAGCTAAATATAATAAGCTAAAAAAACTGTGGGTACTTTAGTTGTTCATCTCTTTTTAACTGGCTAAGCCCACAAATTTGATTCCCAAACAAGGGACACCAGAGGGATAAAGCTGTACTAGAGACCACACTATCTAGTGAGGATGATGATTTATTTCAGCTTATCCAAGCAAGTGGACATTTTTCTTTGAAATTAAAGTTATGTTTTAAAGCACTAATATTCTACAATAAATGTTTAACAAAATCTAATTATATACTTAAAATCAATGTTGAAATGATTAACCTAAATTCTGCAACCTATTTCTCATTACCGCAACCAATGTTCCTTAAGTGATATTTTATTAATATTTTGTAATCGTTTACTTTTCAATGCATGTGCATAATCTACAAATTATGTCCTTTCAGGTTAGCCACATTATTTTGAAAACACATCAGGTTTTATCAAAATAAATTAAAAAAAGTGTTGTAAAAAATGTACGGTGTTTCGGTAATGAGAAAAAACAATAAAAATAAAAAACCCTGTTAATTTAAAAATAAATGTTATTGCAGAATCTCAAGTAACTCCACATTACTGTTAATAATCCCTTTTTAAAAAAATGTCTAAATGAATTAGCTATTTTGTAAGAATCAATTTAGTAGACTGTTGCGGTAATGAGATTTTTTATTACTTGTTTTGGAAATTATGCTCAAAAAGGTACTACATGATGTGTATATATTTTTAAATTAATGTTGACAAATGCTCCAGACTTTGTTTCAATTATCTGCAAAACCAAAATTTAATTTAAACATTTTTTAAAAATTCATGTTTGAAAATTTTTAAACTACGTTTTCGTGAGAATCACCCATATATATATATATATATATATATATATATATATATATATATATATAGATATATATAGATATAGATATATACATATATAGATATATACATATATAGATATATATCTCACAACTGATTCCCATCTAGAAACCACACTGATGATCATGTGATCGGAAAAACCTCAATACATATGTTCTAAAAGAGGACACTGAAAGGAACAGTGAGCGAATCAAAGAACTCTGTCACCAATACATCCAGATGAGGTTATGCAATACAGTCATTACTGTCTGTACTATACACAGTGTGTTTTGCAGTAAACTACTCTATAAACCTGGAGTTCATTAGCACAAACAGTAGATATAGAGTACAGCATTTGCATACACTGTGTTTAATTACTTTCAGAGAGTCATGAAGTTGGAGGCCAATCAAGTACCACATGGAATTATCTATGTTGACGAGGCTGGGGATGTCGCTGTAGGAGAAATATAATAGGCTAAATGGCCACAGTTACCGTGCCGGGCCACAGAAGTCAAATGCAGAAGACGGGGCAGAACTTAGTTTTTTTTTTTTTTTTTTTTATTATAATTGCGGTGCTTTTCTTTTTGTATATCTTTCAGTGTTATCCTTTGCAAACAAAGTCTGTACTGTAGTCTGTATTTTTTTTTTACATAAACTACATTTTATGATGCAAAATCAAATATAAGGGTAGACCTGAAACATAAAATAATGCAGTTTCTGTCATTTTAGCTGATGATAGTATTTTTATTGTCAGTGTGTTATGATTGACTAAATGTTTCTGTTGGAAGAGAGCATGTTTTAGTGTTTTAATTCATTATTTCATCTTGAAACATGTTTGCTGTGTTTTGTTAGACATGGTGTATTGTGTTAGTATAATATTGTATTTTGAAAAATAGTTTAGAGGTTTAGTCTACAATGTGTGATTTTGAGCATTAAATGTATTGAAAAACTGTCATGGCCATTGTAAAAAACTGTAATAAAAATAACTAAGCAAAAGATGTGTAAAACATACTGTGTGTGATAGTGAAAGGATAACTGCACACACACAATTAAGGCTAGGCCCATGAATAAATCTGTTCAAAGAATGATTAAAGAGAAAGCGGAAGAGAAAATCTTAAGCTCTTGAAAGCAGCAGGACTGGGGGTGCACAAGCACAGTTTTTTCCAGTCTATTTCAAAGAGGAACCAGTTGCGTTTTCAGGCATAGTTGTTTTGCACAAGGAAACGAGACAAGGGAGCTTTGAAGCACTCATGCACTTCACATCATCTGTGCGAGTGACACAAAGCCCTCATCAGTGCGTCAGGATCGCCTGTGTCTGATTGTGTGCCTGATCATCCTCTCATTTGGTATTCACCTGCTTAATTTTGCTTGCGCAAACAATCAGTCGTGCTCCTTCTTGATTCTAAGCTCACATTTGCACGCATGTTGACAAAGCCAGCGCTGGCAATTTATAAATGATTTTCAACCAGCCAAAGTGGCTAGTGGATGTGGCTGTCAAACCTGCCAGAGCGGAAATTTACCCGCATTAGGCAGGTGTTAATGTCAAGCCCTGATTAGAAGTCATTTTGAAAGGAACAGTACAACTTCCTGAAATGCATCACATCTAAATTCACTGAAAATCTGACCAAATAGTAAAAAAATTATAATAATAGTTAATCATGGAACAATGTTAATAAAACAGATTGTAAACTTCCTGAAATAAAGTAGCTGAAAATCTGACAAAAATCGCAAAAAAAAAAAGTCGATCATAGAACATTGTTATTAAAACTGATTGTGAACTTCCTGAAATGTGTCACGTCTAAATTGACTCAAAATCAGCCAAAAATAACAAAAAAAATTAAAAAAAAATTGATCATGGAACAATGTTAATAAAACATATTATAAACTTTCTAAAATGAGTCATATCTTAATTCGCTGAAAATCTGACAAAAAAAAAAAAAACTTAAAATAGCAAAAAAACAATCATGCAACAATGTTATTAAAACAGATTGTAAACTTCCTGAAATACATCACATCCAAATTTGCTAAATATCTGACAAAAATCACACATGGAAGAATGTTAATAAAACAGATTGTAAACTTTCTGAAACATGTCACATCTAAATTGATAAAAAAAAAAAATTTGACTAAAGTTTATTTATTTTTGCTGCAAATTGCATATGTTTTTTCTTTTGTCCTGTTTTCTTCTGTTCTTTTCTGTTATCCCATAGGCTCCTATTTTAATGTGGCCTAGGCTATGATTGGCTGCTGGTGGTGGAGAGCTATAAAACAGAAGTTCAGGCAGAGTTCAGGGAGCTCATTTTTGGTGCGACAGTTGCTCGGAGTGGAGAGCTCCTGGATTTCCCTACCCCACCGGCCAACGACCAAACTTTGTTCTTGTCAAATGTTGTTGTATGCTTTTAGAGAGTTTGAGCTTGTAGGGTGACCTGCCTATTAGGTTGATTACTTTTGATTATATTTAATAATTGCTAAAAAAACCGATCATGGAACAATGTTAATAAAACTGACATAACATAATATTTACCTTAGGAATGCTATTTAGCGTCAAAAATATGGCATTGCATGAAGGAAAATAATATAGAGAGGAACATTTAATATAAATGTATATTAGCGCAGCACAATGTCATTTTAGCATCGATATCGCAATGTGCAATAATCACACCACAGGATTGTGATTAAACAAAAAACTAAGTTCAAAACTAATTGAAGCCTAAAAAGTGAAATATTTTTTAGGGTCTGCGAGTATGATTTCAAGAGAATTGGCCAATAGAAATTATAAAGGAAATTGTAAACAAAGAATTAATAAAGATTAATTGTATTAAATTATTTCTATATTAAAGACTATAGTAGTCAACATTTGAGGCTAATCAAAAATGTAATTTTTCCAATTTCATGTATGTATATACATGTATATACACTCTCTATTCATACTCACCAATAACACTGAGAGTCATTGCTCCCTTGGTTTCATCTTCTTCAGAGTTAAAAACACAGGTGTATTCCCCTTCTTGATCAAGACTTGCCACGTCTATCCTCACAGTGAGGTTAGTAGCTGATGTTGGAATGTCGAAGTTTTCTCGTTTAAAACCTTTCATATAGTTGTAGCCTGCCATTTTCTTTGCTTTCATTGTTGAATCCAGACGGTTCCAGGAGGAGAACAGGATTTGACTTTGTCCGGTGTATAAACAATGCAGGTAGACCTCCTCTCCCAATATCCCTATAACCGTTTGTTTGAGAACCAAGTCTCTGGGCTCCTCATCTATAAAAACAAAATAATGTATATTACACAAATATTTAAAGAGTGCCATCTGATATTTTCTCTCAACCTATGTTTATATTTAGTAATTTCATGTTAAAGGCAATTACAGTTTTTTTACAATTGTTTTGCCACAAATTTGAGAACTCTGGGCTCAATTTTCTATACTCTAGCCACCAAATTCACAACCTTTGCCAAAATTCTAAATTTTTCCAAAACTCTTAACTCTTTCTTTTTTTTTTTCAAATGCTTGGATACAAGCATTTACACACAAGTCAAAGGTTCTTTGTTCATTGAACTAAGATCACCTTTTCAATAAAACAAAATTAAACATCAAATTAATCCCATTTCAAAATGCTTCTTAAACATTACATTTGAAATAAGTTGAGTATTCATTTACTTAACATGATGTTATTATCAACTGATACAAGCACTCAAAATGACAACTGTTGCATTGCTCTTGATGCATGGAAACTGATGTACAATAAAACATGTTTAGATGAAAAAAGTGTCATGATAGATCAAATGACATCAGTTACCACAGATGATGACCCAACTGGACTGTTATCTATAGATTTCATCTTTGTTCATCCTTATTCCACATTTACGGTTTCCTTGTTCCATGTACCACTATTATCTATTTAGTCATATATTTTACCCCTACAAATACATTTCCTATAATTTATTTAAATATAATTTAGGTGTCCATATGGCTGTATATAAACACACACACACACACACACACACACACACACACACACACACACACACACACACACACACACACACACACACACACACACACACACACACACACACACACACACACACATGTGGTTGAAATTTTTTTGCACTATTTTGACAAATTATAAACTATTATGACATTTCATATACAGTATGTGGAATCCAGTTGTAATTTGCATATGTTGCCATATATCATGTCATATATCAGCTTTCTATATGGGTACGTGCAGTGAGAAAAAGATTACAGTAAACCTACATTATGATGGAATAAGTTAAACTAGTTTGGTGGATCCACTATCTGCACTGTTCCCTTTACACTTATGTATAAACCATAATGTAACCTGTAACAACAATACTTAATGATTGTTAAAAAATGTTTATTGAAACGATGTGCATCTTGTGTGCTGGTGATATAAAGTTGTGTTCCAGTAGTACCTGTATGATAAAAAAATTATGTGAACCAATAATCCTGCAAATGCAAGAGTTCCTTAAGGAAATGAACGCAGCATGCAGAGTTTTGAATACAGGAGAGCCCGTGTTAAAAGTAGTGTATTTTTTGCAGTGTAAAGTGTGTATAGCAGTGTAAATTTATTGTCCTCTCAAAATAACTACATATACAGCCAATAATAGCTGAACCCCTGGCAACAAAAGTGAGTACACCCCTAAGTGAAAATGTCAAAATTGAGCACAATTAGTCATTTTTCTTCCTGTGTCATGTAATTCATAAGTGTTACACTTTCTCGGGTATCCACAGATAGCAGGTGAGTTAAATTTGTTATAAAAGCTTTTCCACTCTCTCAACCAGGCCACTGAAAGTTCCACATGTCACCTCAAGGCAAACAACTCTCAGAAGACCTGAAAAACAAATTGTTGCCTTACATAAAGACGGCCTAGGCTATGAGAAGATAGGCAACACTCTGAAACTGTGCTGCAGCTCCGTGGCCCAGACCATTCAGCGCTTTAAGAGGACAGGTTCTTCTCAGAAGTGGCCTCGCTATGGCTGGTCAAAGAAGCGGAGTGCACGTTCTCAGCGTCACATCCAAAGATTGTCTTTGAAAAACAGACGGATGAATACTTCCAGCATTGCTGCAGAGATTGAAGATATGGGAGGTCAACCTGTCAGTGCTCAGACCGTATGCCACACACTGCATCAAATTAGTTTGCATGGTTGTGGTCCTAGAAGGAAACCTCTTCTAAAGACGATGCAAGAAAGCTTGCAAACAATTTGCTGCAGACATGCAAACTAAGGACCAGGATTACTGGAACCATGTCCTGTGGTCTAAGACCAAGATAAACCCATTTGGTTCAGATGGTTTCATGTGTGTGTGGAAGCAACCAGGTGGGGAGTACAAAGAGTGTCTTGCCTACCATTAAACATGGTGGTGGGAGTGTCATGTTCTGGGGCTGCATGAGTGCTGCTGGCATTGGGGAGCTACATTTCATTGAGGGAAACATGAATTCTAACATGTACTTTGACATACTGAAGCAGTTCTCTCAGGAAACTGGACTGCAGAGCAGTGTTGCAGTATGATAATGACCACAAACACACCTCCAGGATGACCACTGACTTGCTAAAGAGGCTGAGGGTAAAGGTGATGGACTGGCCAAGCATGTATCCAGACATAAACCCCATAGAACACCTCTGGGGCAACCTGAAAAGGAAGGTGGAGGAGCACAAGGTGTCAAATGTCCACCACCTCCGCAATGTTGTGATGGAGGAGTGGAAGAGAATTTCATAGGCAACTTGTGAAGCTCTGGTCAACTCCATGCCCAAAAGAGTACTCACTTTTGTTGCCAGGGGTTCAGCTATTATTGGCTGTATTTGTAGTTATTTTGAGAGGACAATAAATTTACACTGCTATGCACACTTTACACTGACTACTTTTCATTCTGTCAAATAATCATTTCTGCAGTGTTGTCCTATGAAAAGTTATAAATAAATATTTGCAGAAGTAGGAGGGGTGTACTCACTTTTGTGACATTGTGTGTGTGTGTATGTGCGTGTATATATATACATATATATATATATATATATATATATATATATATATATATATATAAAAAGGGTGTAACGATACGCGTATTCATATTGAATCGTTCAGTACGAGACTTTTGGTTCGGTTCGCATTGCAAACCGAACGATTCAATTCAGACTAACATCTAAAAAGATAAAAGCGTATAAGTACAAAATATAATGTTTTCGGTGCAACAACGTTAAACATGGCATCCCAAATGACGTGGCATAGGTCGGTGTCAACCTGGCTGCTCGTGCTGGCTTCGCCCCCGTTACCCCGGCAACCCTTGACCCCTGACACAAAAGAGCCAACCTCCAAACACTACTCCAGGCACGCACTACACTAGCTCCCAAAATGGCTAGTAACATTAATGCAATCCCAGACATCCTTTGGGAGACAAGACAAGCGTCGGGAGACTCCTGGATGCCCGCAAATGAATGATAATCTTCTTTTGGAACACCCCCCCCCCTCCCCCCCATCTTCAGATACGTCATGCACCATCACCGCTAGCAAGAGAGTGTTGAAAAAAAAAAAAACATCTGAGAGATCTTAATCAGTTGTGAAAATGTTGGGTTTTAGGAAAATGTTAAATGTAAGAGCCACGTTACATTATTCCTTCATAAGCTCATTTCAGTCAGATAATTCATGCTTTCAGTTCCATTGAAATGACAGTTTAAAGTCAAATCAAGCAGATCTGTGATGTCTAAGGAAAAGGTGGACGCTCATCTTTCTGAAAAAAACAAAAAACTTAAAAACTGATTGAAACCGAGTTCCATATAAAAACTAAATTGTTCTTTTCTTTTTATTTGTTTAACTGCTACAATATTATATTCATTTTTTCATAAGCAGCTTTTTGGTTTTAAGTATAAAGAAGGATTTGTTTTATTTGCTGCTAAGCAGAAACCCCGGAAGTATAGCTCTATCACTGTTTAAAGTAAAAGAAAAAAACAAGATCATACTTTTATGATGTTAGTTTAAATACATTTAAAAAATTAAAATCAGAGAAATCCTCTGGCTTTTTTTCTTTTTTGCGGTATTGAAAACGTACTGAACCGTGACACCACTGTATCGTATCGAACTGAACCGTGATTTTTGTGAACAGGTCGAAAAAAGCTGACATTTTATAAAACAGTCGTAAATAGCTTGTTATGGTATATTATCACTAAATATTACATTCAATCTTTTTGTAAACTTGTTTGTTTTTCAGTCAGGCCAGAGTTCTGTTTGAAACTGACTGCTCATAGCATACCTGCCAACACTTCTGTTTTTCCCGGGAGTCTCCTATATTTCAGACCCATCTCCCATTTTGTCATTTCTCCTGGGATTTCACCCCCTTCCCCCAGTCCTCATGTGTTTATTACATATAACACCCCTGGATCGCTGAAGTAGGTGCGTAGAACAGACCAGGCACAGCATACTGGACACAGATACATCTTCCAACTGGACACAGATACATTCCCCCCCAACCCCATCTCCCAGATTTTCAGAGACCAATGTTGGCAGGTATAGTTCATAGGCCTGATCGTACAGTAATATGCCAGTAGGCCTCGTTGACTTAACTTTTAAATCATAAAGAACAGTTCATCTGCAAAAATGTAAATATTTTACTCACCCTAATATCATTTTAAACCTGAATTACCTTATTTCTTTTACAAGGTAAAATTAGATATTTTAAAGAATGTCCTGGCTGCCCTTTTCCATATTATAAAAGATTGGGCCGGTCAAGCTCCAAAAATAACCAAAGCACCTTTAAATGTCAGACATTTATGTGATAAACTGTAAGTCATACTGTAAGAGGTGGGTATAATTTATGTCATATTGTCTTCATAGGGCATTTCTTTTTTGCATCCTGTACCCACTCATTGTTATGGAAAACAGCAATCAGAACATAATACAAAGATTTGATTGAAATGACAAGAAGTTAACAAGTGAAGACATTATTTTATGGGGACCATTCACAACTTATCAATGTTAAAACAAATCTAAAACTGCCTTAAAATGCTTTGTATACATTTAGTACATCTTAAAAATGTTGATTGAATCTGCACAAAGCAACAAAAGTGACATCACACACAGGCTGCACAGAGTCTGTGGTGGAAATTGAGTTGCTTCGCACGAGAGGAAGCAGATGTTTTGGGTTTTTCAATCATGTGACAAGACTTTCCTACACAGGCCTTCTACACACATGTTGCGTGCTGCTGTAAACCACACACATACCACAGTACCTGATTCATAGTCATTTAACTGATTACATGCAAAAACAACTCCATGTTTAAAAATCACAGCTGCTGAAAGCGTCATCGCTGCACTGATTGGGTACGCTTTCGAAACAAGACTGGTACACACATCACAAAAAATTTCTATAAATAAGTAACAATTCATGTATGCAAAATATATGTAAATGAATTGCATATACAATAAATTACCTTAACATATATATCATATATTGATACATAACCATTATAATATAATACACACACACACACAAATATATATATATATATGTGTGTGTGTGCATGCAAACATATATGTAAATAAATAACAAAGAATAATACATCTTAATAATAATAATTTGCATTTCTACTGTATTTCTATATTTTTCTTTCTAAGGGTTAAAATGTCTTTCACAAAATCGTTTCTAGGGATCAATATTTTTCAGTACTAACAAACAAATACAGAAATAAAGAATTTATCATTTCCATGTCTCAGCATTTATTTGGTTTCAGAATAAAAAGGATACGTGGTTTAATGTTTCTCTACAAAAAAGGATGTCTGCTCAAACGAAAGTGGAAATGCCTACAGCTGAATTTGTGAAGAATGTTCATTGTATGCAGCTTTTCTCAATAAGCAATATGATAACCTTCACAAACTCAAAACTGTTTCACAATAACAACTACAGCTATTCAAAAAACTGTCCTTCCCTCCCCCAGTATAAGCATTTTGACACTACCCCAAAAATAATGCACAGCTTGTGTCAACCATGTGCTTATAATTTACATTACTCCTCCAGAATGTGTCTGTTTATACACCAAGCTAACCAGAAAACATGAAAGCCAATAAAAAAGGGCAGAAAACACAAATCAGCATCATCTGACACAAGCTGCTCAAATTAAGCCCAAGCTGATTAAACCTGAGATGAACCTACCTTGCATTTTCATGCTGAGAGCAAGTTTTGAAGCCATTCCTAAAATAAAAAATATTGGCAGACCCATGCTGAAGTCATTAAAGGAGGCAAGTGGAGCAAAAAACTACTTGAATGTATCTGCCAGTGTGTGTGTGTGTGTGTGTGGTTGAAGCTGTTAGACTGTGGGTCATACTCAGCTGCCTGTGTGTGTGTGTGTGTGTGTGTGTACTTTGTGTTCCTTAACCCAAACCCCAAAATAGTCAAGCTTTGAATAACCCACAAGCATCTTGCCTCGACCATGTTTAAATCATTACTTAAAAATTAATCTCACACCCATTTATTATGGTCATAGATGATATCCTTTCCTCTGTTTGTTTAGCTGTGGCAATGTGTGTTTTAAATGATCAAATGTAAATATTGCAAATGTTTAAATCAAAGTTTTAGCATCATACATTGCACTGGTCATACATTTTAAAGACGCATCTTTTTGGACAAGCTTTTAATTAACTGTATGGTGAGTTGGTTTTACATTTGGTGTTATTTTTAGGCTTCTTGGATTTTAACCTGTTTTAATATATGTTTTCTTTTACAGCAAATCACTTTGTGACTATTTATCTGTATAAGGTGCTATACAAATACATTTTTACTTGACTTTACTTACACTGTAGTGGTTTACAAGTGTTTAAAATTATTACATTTAAATAGATTTGCCAAATGCAAAAAACGTTAGAACCAAAGTTTAAAAATAATACAATGGATTGGTCACATTAACATCCATAAAATGTTATTAAAATAGATTAAAAGTAACAGTTTGATTAAATGAAAAACCAACAGCACTTTCAGCTCCATCACTAAAACCAACCTCCCACATGTCAGTTTGACAGTTACCATACTTAGTCATACTGTGAAAAAACTGCTAGATTAAAAAGGAAAGTTCACTCTAAAATTACAGTCGTTTTATCATTTACTCTCCCTCATGTGGTTTTAAATCAGAGTCTGTTGAACACAAAAGATATTTTTAAAAGGAAATGTTGGTTGATGGCACCTACTGACTTCCATAGTAGGGAAAAAATGAAGTCAATGAGAACCATCAACTAGCATTCTTCAAAAAATTCTATTTCGTGTTCAACAGAAGAAAGAAAGGAAGAGTAAATGGTGACATTTCATTTCGGGGTTAACTATGCCTTTAAGTAGTTCAGTTGGATTCACATGCTAATTCTCATTGTAAACTAGCAACCAAAATATTTTAGCCTCGTCACTACATCTAACTGCTCGCATTTGCTTACAACTGTCAGTTTGTCGGTTATCATATTTAGTCATAAAGAAACGGTACAGAATGGAGGTCACCGTGTAGGAAGCTACGCTAAACTGTCGACTCATCATCATGCTGAGGTTTCAACGACTACTCATTCACGAAACAATGAGAAAGAAGTTTCAGTCCACGCTTGAGGTTTCTCAGTTTCCTACTTTAAATAATGCTAGCACTTCAAAGCGTTTGCCGTTTCTTTAGTGGAGATCTTTAAACCATGCACTTGTTATGAGTGTGAACAAACTGTCTCAGACGGGCACAGACTTGATGCATGTTCACTGATAGACAAACATGTTCACACGTTTACACCACAGAATGACAGTTATCAAGGTAAACAGGAAGACTATGAGGCGAATAGCAACCTCAGTGCTCCGTTAAACTCCTTTAAAGGCAGTCTGTTAAACACATTCGCTTTGTGGTGTTCTTGTATATTAGTTGATGGCTAAATAACAATTGAAATGTCATTTTGGCTGATTATTGTGCCAATATTACACACCAATTTTGAGAGATAATTGCAATTGTCAGAATCAAAGTGAATTTAATTTACTGTAATAAGCTTTTGAGGATAAATTGTTCATCAATACAGAAACTGTTTGCACGTCTTGTTTTGTAATAGAGTTGGGTGATGAAATAAAAAAAAGCTTGCAAACCCCGCACATGAAAACAGACTTACAGTAAATCAAATGTGTAGTAAATACTTTAGTGTTTTTTCAAATTTATTATTCATTAATTTTCTTTTCAGCTTAGTCCCTTTATTAATCTGGGGTCGCCACAGCAGAATGAACTGCCAACTTTATTATAGTAAAGTGTATTAAAATGTAGTGAACTAAAGTGAACTGAATTAGTTTTTACTACACTAAAAGGGTAATTGTATTATAATATACGCTATATTGGTAGAAAACTATTTTAATTCATGCAATTACTATTTTACTATGATTCAAAAACACTACATTACACTCACTGACCACTTTATTAGGTACACCAGTCCAACTGCTCGTTTTCGCAAATTTCTAGTCAGCCGATCACATGGCAGCAGCTCAATGCGTTTAGGCATGGACGAGACGATCTGCTTTATTTGACTTTGAATGTAGAATGGTTACTGGTCTGAGTATTTCAGAAACTGCTGACCTACTGGAATTTTCACGCTCAACCATCTCTAGGGAAATTTTACAGAGAATGGTCTGAAAAAGAGAAAATATCGAGTAAGCGGCAGTTCTTTGGGTGCAAATGCCTTGTGGCCAGACCTTCTTCGAGCTCTGAATGCACAACATGTTGAACCTTGAGGCAGATGGGCTACAGCAACAGAAGACCACACCGGGTGCCACTCCTGTCAGCTAAGAACAGGAAACTGAGGCTACAATTCGTACAGGCTCAACAAAATAGGACAATAGAAGATTGGAAAAATATTGTCTGGTCTGATGAGTCTCGCTTTCTGCTGTGACATTTAGATGGTAGGGTCAGAATTTGTCCATCCAGTGTACCCATCTTCTGATGGCTACTTCGAGCAGGATATTGCACCATGTCAAAGCGTGAATCATCTCAGACTTTTTTTTTTTATTGAACATCACAGTGTACTCAAATGGCCTTCACAGTCACCAGAACTCAATCCAATAGAGCAGGGATTCTCAACCGGTGGGCCGCGGCCCAATAGTGGGCCTAAGTGATCCTGCAGATGGGCCGTGAGATAGCTAAAAAATTAACTCTTAATATTAAAGGTGTCTCGAGATCTTGCGAGATTAAATTGCGACGAGATATCTCGTCAAAATAAAAAGTTAATTAAACTATTAATTACCATCCTGTAGGACTTCTAGCCGCATTTTGCGACAGGAAAGTCAACGTAGCTGTTTGACACTATACTCTCTGCACCTACACATATCTCTAAGCGCGCAAACATACTGACTTGCATGACACTCAACACACCCACCTTCATCATGACCAAACACATTTTTGCTGTAAGGAAAAGCAGACGTTTTCTTTTAAGGGTTCAAGTGACCAAACAAGAACTAAAAACGCTTTTATATTGTCATGTGGCACAAGTATTTAAGCATATATTTAAGCATGTTCACGAGAGAGAAAGAGCGCAACATCCACTATGTAACCAATATAATTTGTGCATCATACATCACATGCACAAATCAAGCCATGGACAATACGTTAAGATGCCTACTTGATTAAAATGGCCTAGATATATGATAGATGTCCATACATAGACATATGGTCAAATGAGAGCTTTTCTGTCATAAACTATAGGAAAACAACTTGTCAAAATGAAAATTAAAAAATGAAACCCTGCTAACAGAATAAATACAGGAATGGAGAATAGAGCACTTTTTTAAATATAAGCTGTCAAGTCAGCGCCCGCCTTTTTTCCCTGGTCATTGCGCTTTTTTGCCGTGTGCAAAGTCAATGCAGACAAACAGATACCAGGCACCTTTAAATGATCATAAATGTAAGCAGGTAATCTAAAAAATTGGATACTGTCACAAAACCCGAAACAACCATCAAAATCTCTAATTTAAATACTGTGAAATTCTGTAGGGCAGTGGTTCTCAAACTGTGGTACGTGTACCACTAGTGGTACGAAAGCTTTCCTTCTAGTGCTACGCGGAGGAATCAAATAAGTCATTTGCACATGCTATATATATATTTCAAAATTTATCAAAAATGATTTTTATATAAATATGATGACATATAGCGTATATTATTGAGGTCCAGGCAACATTCAGGTGTTGATGAATAGACTACTATATGTTAGTACTTTACATTTAAGTACAGCAATTTTCTTTTTACTTTTTAAAAACCGTAACCTACCATTTTTACTTTTAAAAGCACATTTTAATTACAATGTTCATGTTTTTAGTTTGTTTGCTGGTTTGTTTACATACAAGCACAATACAGTCCTAACGTTCAGACTATTTATATTGTTTAAAGTGTCTGACATTAATAAATATTCTTAATAATAGTAATTAATCTGTCATGTTTTTGAACTGCAAAGCTGTAGCTTAAACTTGTCTACTGTGCTACTGTATTTCAATACTGCTCATTATGGTGGCACTTGGAGAGATTTTTTTTTTCAGAGGTGGTACTTGTTGAAAAAAAGTTTAAGAACCACTGCTTTAGAACATTGAAAGTAATTGTACTGGGTGATTTATCAATAAATGTATAATGCAAATGATCAGTTAATAATCACATGAAAAAAAGACCATGTAAAGTTTTGGAGGTTATAATTGCACCTATGTTGCCTTTTGCATAATACAAGTATATTAACAGCATTAACAAATATTTGCTAGAATATCCACAATACACTGAACAAACAAAGCAAACGCTGAAATAATGGGATGTGTATGAGAGCTGCTGTTTGAAGAGGATGAAATGGATATAGCCAAATGCAGAAAATAGTTTTGTATAAATGCATCAAAATGGTCTAGTTACAGGACAAAGTCCATACTATACTTTACTTGTATTTGAGAACTTTTACCAGTTTCTTTTAACACAGGAGTGACTGAATTAAAGGGATTTGTGACTGACTCCTGAAATACTTTGTATTTGCCATATTAAAACTCTATAATGGAGTCAATACGGTCCAAACTGTTATCAAACTTGTCATCTTCAATGACATCCTCCACTGCGAAGATGCTCTCTGAATATTTTTTATAATTTTCAAATGATTGGTTGAGACACATTTTTTCTTGGATCACAAATTGTCATTTAAATCGCATCAAATACACTACCTCTGAGTCCAAAGAGATTTCTGTGCATGTGAAGACTCAAATCGCCAGTCAGAGGGGATGTAACTGGCCGTTACTAATAAGAAATCAGTTTTGTTGATGCAAGACAGATTCATATAAGGCTATCAATCGGCTTACCGCTG